CACCTTTGTTCCATAACAGGCTTTTCACACACTGGTGCTGTCCTTCCTCAGCTGTCCCAGGTTAGCCAGAGTCTAAGGGCATCCCAAAGACAAACCAGGCCTAGACAAGGCAGGGGCTAGGGGATCAGAACCCTCCTGCCTTGCCTTCCCCAGTTCCATCTCATGTGGTGGTTCCTGTGCCCTGCATTGTAATAAACCCTCCAGGGCCTAGAGCTATGCTGTTTGTAGTCTCTCTAGCTAGGCCACCTCACCTACCACTGTACATGACACCTGCCAGTTCAAAAAGAACCCCTAGCCTAAGGCCACACCAAGTATCAGCAGCAGCACAAGCTAGAGAGTTTTGTTTTTACGGTAAATCATACCTTGGTAGTCAACTGCTTTGAAACTCATCAAATTTATCAGTTGATTCTTTTTGGTCTTTTAAAAATTTTTATTAGTATATGTTTGCAGTACATAATGATTACATTCATTGTGGGGAATGGGTACATATACATAATACAGCTTTTTTTTTTTTTTTTGAGACAAGGTCTTGCTATGTAATTCAGGCTGGCCTTGAACTCACTATGTAGTCCAGGCTGGCTTCGAACTCCTGGTAATCCTCCTGCTTCAGCTTCCCAAACACTGGGATTACAGACATACACCATCATACATGGTACATAACACATCTTAATTCTTTTTTTCCTCCTTCTCTCTCCTCCACTTTTTTACTTTACTTTTTTTTTTTTGTACTGGGAATCAAACTCGGGACCTTGTGCTTGAGAGGCAGGCAGCGGAACCACTGAGCTAAATCTGTGGCCCCTCCTCCCCTCCACTTTTTTGTTCTTTTTTTTTTTTTTTTTTAGTACCAGGGATCGAACTCGGGTCTTTGTGCTTGCGCAGCAGGCGGTGAAACCACTGAGCTAAATCCCCGGCCCTAAATAAGTTAGAAAGAGGTGGGAACATTTAGGTGTTACTAGGGAGGATGTCATGGCAGCTATTTTTGTTTGTTTGTTTGTTTTTTTGTACCAGGGATCGAACTCGGGACCTTTCGCTTGCGAGGATCCCCTCCACTTTTGGTAGTATCAGATTCATTGATTTGTAAGTCTTTATAAAGTTAATTATCATATATACAGATTAACAACCAGACTAATAGGCCAAAAACATATAAAACATTTATACTAGATCAAGGTACACTTTTAGATTCGTTGTCTATGCTAGATTACAATAACTTTTTTCCTCTCTCCCTTTTTACCTATTATTTGTTTTATTTTGTGTTTTATTTATATATGGAGTTTTTCACATAAGAGAAACCATGTGATATTTAAACTTGTATGTCTTATTTACTTCACTTAACATTATCATCTCAAGATGCATCCATTTTTCTACAAATGACTCACGTTTATCCTTGTTTATGGCACAGTAGTACTCCATTGTATAAATACCACATTTTCTTTTTCCATTCATCTTTTATGGGAATATAGGCTATTTCCAAGATTTAGCTATTACGAATTGTGCTGCTATAAACACAGGTATGCATGCATCACTATGGTATGATGTCTTTAACCCTTTTGGGAAGATACCAAGAAGGGGACTACCTGGGTCAAATGGAATATCTATTTTTAGTTTTTGAGGAATCTGCATACTGATTTCCACAGTAGTTGTACCAGTTTACACTCTCACCAACAATGGAGAAGGGTTCCTCCCACCCCCCCCCCCCCCCCGCCTCATCAGCATTTGTTACTTGTTGATTTCTTGATGATAGCCATTTTTTCTGGAGTGAGATGAAATCTCAGTGTTGTTTTAATTTGCATTTATCAAATGGCAAGCAATGTTGAACTTTTTTCATGTATCTATTGGCTGTTTGTATTTCTTCATCTGAGAAGTGTCTATTCATTTCAGATGCACATTTTTTGAATGAGGGGGCTAATTTTTTTGAGATTTGTTTTGTTTACTCCAGACAAGGTCTTGCTATGTAGTTCAGGCTGGCCTTGAACTCACCATGTAGTCCAGGCTGGCCTCAAACTCATGGTAATCCTCCTGCCTCAGCCTCCTGAGTGCTGGAGATGATAAGGGTGTACCACTATGCCCAGCTATGATGATTTTTTTGATGCAAAAATTTTGTCTTAGTACTCACTGTTTGGTACTCAAAGTGCAAGTTAGAACTTGTCAGTGTTAACTACTTCCTGGCTTGTTACCTTTTCCAGCCAAAACAATTTGTTTGGAACTTATGCCTCCTAAAGCCAATTAATGATGAGTACCTAGGAACCACTGTAATGGAATCAAACTCAAGGCCTCACACATGCTAAACACTCTACCATTGAGCTACACCCACAGCCCAAGTTGGAGGTTTTGTCTTCAAAGCTGCCCCATGTCCACTGAAGTCTCCTTGAGGGGAAGATTCAGCTTGTCTGGCTGACCGATGAGGACACTGAGGCCCAGCAAAAGCAGTAAGCTTGTTCAGGCTGAGCTACTTGACCCTCATTGCTAAAACAGCTCCTGGGTTCTAGAGTGGAAAGGAGGGATTCCAGAGCAAGGATTGCCATTTTCCTTCTACCTTGACCACCAGAATGGTGCTTTGTGCAGTAGTCCCTGACAGTGACTAGGTCGGTGATGCAGCCTGGGTGAGGGAGGAAAAGCTCCAGCATCAGGAGCAGGATGAAGGCTGACCATGCTGAACCCTAGCAGCTTGGGTTCCTCCACCCAGGGATGGGGGGAGATATAAGATGAGTTCCTACTGAAGAGGCAGAGAGAGCAAAAGGAGGGAGGAAAGGAAAAGGAGCCTTGGAGGGAGAGGGGGAAAAGGAAGGAGAGTTGCAGTCCCAGAGAGGGATTCCAAATGGTCAAGAATTGGGCCCACCCAGACTCAGCCCCTAAGCACGTAAGGTAACTTCTGCTTCACAGATACCAAAACCAAACCTTAGGGATGGGATAATTTGCTCAAGATCTCAGGGTCGGAATGTAGCAGAGATAGGACTGGAGCTCATGCTTTAGCCTTACCTTTCAAGGTCTTAAACCCCGAGCCACTGAAGAAGGCTAACCCAACACGAGGCCCCAAGACATCCTACCCATAAAGCACCACAAGAGTGGTCTGGTTAAAATGCAGATTCCTTGGTTGGGATCAAAGGAATGTGGCCTAGGGCTCTGCATTTTGAGCAGTGCTCTGGTGGTATTCTTTGGGTCTGGGCCCTGGGAGGCCCTGTGTCTCTTTTAGGGCCTTTCTGGCCCAACCTGCCCTACCTCCTGCCCCACCTCCTGGCTGTATCCCTGGAGCCCAGCTACTCAGGCTGACTCAACCCCCACCCTCAGGCCTGGGCCTCTCTCAATCTAGGCTTCATCCAGCAGTCTTCCAGTGCTGCATAGACCTGTCCTTCCAGCCAGTGCACATTTCTCTTCTGGACGCCTTCCTGGTGGCTGGGATCCCCCTCCTTCCTGATGGAGTAAAGCATCAGGAACTGTTTACAACATTCTATTTCACTTCCCTTGTGAGGCTGCCTATTCCCAGCCTTTCTCCGTGTTACACAGGAAAACTCCCAGAGGGCTGGAGATTGTTGGTTTAAACAATGAGCCTGTGCAATCCATTACTTCACCTGGTCCTTCTGCCAACCATAAGTGGCAGGGCTGGGAGAGCTATACAAATGAGGAGGCTTGCCCAGGGCCACAGCCAAGGGAGATTCAGGTCTGCTGCAACAGTCAGTTCTGCTTCTCCTTTGCTGCTCATAGCCCAAATAGCCCTGTGAGGCAGGCAGAACAGGGATTACCATCCCACTGCCCAGATAAGGACAACAAGACCCAGAGCAGAGCACAGCCATCAACACCATCCTTATCTTGTCCCCACTTGCAACTGAGTCTGAAGCCAAGTGCTGACCTTTACTCTCTCCTGTCTGGCTGATGGGTACTGCACACTTCTTAGCAGGATGGGGCAGAGATGGGCCTTGGACTCTAGACCAGAGCCCTCATGCTGGACTGGTCCCAGGTCACTTGGGACCTAGGCCTCTCCTCTGCACCTGACTCCCCTTGTCAGCCTTGTAACTGGCTGGGGCTGAGAGGGAGGGAACCAGGAAGTACCTGAACACACCCTGGTGGCCATTGCTCTGGACTTTGTGCCTAGCTAGGGAAGGCATTCCTGAATGGTCCTTTCCCCTAGTGGACGAGTGCAGCTCTGACCTGGCACAGACCCTGCCTAGACCAGCATGGACAACACTGGGAAAGGAGGCCTCGCTGGCATTCCTAAGAAGGATCTGCCAAGCCCTCCCTTTCAGAACGGGTCTCAGGGAGGCTCACAGGAAGCACAGCCCAGCTCTAAACGCTGGGATGGAGTCTTAAACCATCCAGCTGGTTGGTGCCCAGAGTGGGTAAGAAGGATTTCAAACAATGCTAGACGAAAAGTAAAAATAATACCTGATGTGTGTTAACCCTGCACCGACTCCCACCCCACCTGCCCCCAGCAGGCACTCAGCTGTAAACCAGGGGTTTCATCCAGCCTTGCTCCTCTGTCCCTTCTCTGCATCATCTCATCATCTTGGGCCAGGAAGATCCACCACTGGGTCTCCAGCTTCTGCTCCTTCCTTTGCAATCTCAACTCCTTCCCTCCCGTCCATGCGGATTCCTCCCTGCACCACCGCCTCCTTGGATCTGCCAGCACCTCCTCTGGGAAGCCCCCAGTGGGGTGAGTCCTACCAAAGACTCTGGCCCGGAACCCTTCTGTCATAACCAAGACACACATTTTTATTGGTAAATTCAGGGCCCTCAGTTGGCCCTAGCGGCACTTGGCCTCGGACCTTGACCTTGTATGCCCAATAGTGAAATGCAGGGTTCTGAAGCACAGTTAGTGGGGAGGCGGCAGGGGATACAGGATGAGGTCTGGGAGTGAGCCTCCGCTGCCCCGCGCCGCCCTCGCCTCCTCCAGGAAGGCGAGTGTGGCCGTAGGGTCCCAGGCCGGTATCGAGCCCACTCAGCGATCTCCCACTCCACCCTGTATCTGGCGTGACACAGCGCGCCTGCGCGGAGAAAGCCGCGCCTACTGCGCGTGCGCAGCGGTCGCTCCAGCTGTATATTAGGGCGGCAGGGTCGCGGCCTGAAACTGTTTGCGGACAAGGGCAACGGTTAGTTTGGACTTTTCCCCTTGAGCGCCCACCGCCGACCCCACCTCCGCCTCCGCTGAGAGCCCCGCGCAGGTGAGGGCCCGCGCTTGCCGGCATCAGGGAGCCCCCGGGTGTCCGTCCAGCCCGGGCCCCGCTTCCCTGCACTGAGACCCCATCCCCCACCGCCCCAGTCACCCGCGCCTTGGTCAGCCTTCGTCTTCCAGGTCTTTTGCCTAGTTAGTGCCTTGGTTTCCCTCCTGTCACTTGACCGCTTTAGAATTCACTTCTCATACCCCGCCCATATCTGGAGCCCTTAACCCCGGTACCCTCTGACCCCAATCCCCAGGATTCTTTCCACCAGACTCGATTCCCTCGCTTGCCAAACCCCCATCCCTGTCCAGACACGCCCCTGCCCTTCTCTATGGTCCCCTTTTTCTCATTCTCCCCAGCTATAGGGGCATGACCTGGCCACGGTGGTGGTGGTGGTGGTGGTGGTGGTGGTGGAAATCCCTGCCTCGGACTCAGAGCTTGGCTGGATGCCTTCCTTGGGGAGAAGAAGGCCGGGATCCCTAGGAATCCTACCTGCCTAAAGTGGTGACTGGCTTCTTCCCTAGCCTTACTTCTCCACCTAGTGTGGGTTAGGGTGTCTTATCTGCACATTGTATCTCCTTAGAGAAGCCTCCTGAACCTGTTCCTAACTAGCCTCCTCATCTTTCCACCTTCTCAGTTATTTTTTGTTGTTGTTTATTTGTTGTTTGTTTTTTGAGACAAAGTCTTGCTGTGTAGTTCAGGCATGCCTTGAACTCACTGTGTAGTCCAGGATGACCTCAAATTCAATGATCCTCCTGCCTTGGCCTCCCGAATACTGGGATCACAGGTGTGCGCCACCAGACCTGCCTCCCCCTTAGTTATTAGTTGTGTGTATTTCTCTGTTTGGTGAAGTTGCTTTTGGGGCATTTTTCTATAGAGCTGGAGAAAAAAAAGAAGTTGGTGACCTGGGTAGTATGCGGTCACTGCTCTTTTTTTGAGTCATATATCAGTGCTGTCCTTGAGTGAGGTACTCTTTCTTGGTGTAAACTGCTGGTGACACCTGAACCCAGTAACCTTGCAGTGTGGTACTGTATTTGCCTGATTATTAACAAGTGCTGATGTCACTATTCATCAGTCTTTCTACAGGAGCCAGTACACTTCCTGGACATGGAGACCGTTGTTCGACGATGCCCCTTCTTATCTCGTGTCCCCCAGGCCTTTCTGCAGAAGGCAGGCAAATCTCTGTTGTTCTATGCCCAAAACTGCCCCAAGATGATGGAAGTTGGGGCCAATCCAGCCCCTCGGGCCCTGACTACCTCAGCGGTACACTGCCAGCAGATCAGAGAAACCCCTCCGGGCAGTGAGAGTAAGTGTCATTGGCAGCTAAGGCAAAGGTAGGGATGTCTGTTCTCATTACTAGATGAAAAGCAGTTCCAGGCTGTGGTGGTGGAGAAGCCCCCCGCCCCAGGGGAGGGCTCAGATCTGTGTGCCGATTATCTCCTGTCATTATCACCCTAACCCTTCAGGGTGGGCACTTTTAGTGTTCCTGGCTTTTAAAGTGAAATGTGGCCAGTGTTCCATGTTTCAGGTTTCTAGAGTGCCTGTTTCTTCAGGGCAGGTATTCAGTTGGAATGTTCTATTCCAACCTTTCAGTAAATACTTGGTCTTTGACTTTAGCCTTGCCCTGCAAAGTCTCAAACCTTAAATGGTGATTTTTATCTTTAAGACTTGTTGGTCACAAAATGCACAAAGTATAAAATTCACCATTTTAACATTTTTAAGTGTACAGTTCAGTAGTATTGAGCACATTCATGTTGTACAAAGATCACTACCATCTGTCTATAGAACTGTCTACATCTTCCTAGTCTAAAATTCTGTGCCTGTCCAACATTAACTCCCATTCTTCCTCCCCCAGCCCCTGGCAGCCACCATTTTGCTATCATTTTGACTGCCCTAAGAACCTCATGAAAGTGGAATCCTGCCAGGTATAGTGGCACCTGCCTGTAATCCCAGCACTCATGAGGCTGAGGCAGGAGGATTACTGTGAGTTCAAGCCCAGCCTGAACCACATAGTGAGACCCTGTTTCCAAAAAAAAAATGTAAAATCCCATGGTACAGTATTTGTTAGTTTTTGTTTATTTGTTTGTTTGTTTTGTGGTTTTTTTGGTACTGAGGATGGAACTCGGGACCTTGAGTTTGCAAATCAGGCGGTGGAACCACTAAGGTAAATCCCTGGCCCCTGTTAGTGATTTTTTAAACACATGGATTTATTTTATATCTAAAGTTTGTTTTTGGTTCTAGGGATTGATTAAACTCAAGGCCTTCATGTTGAGCTACCCCCCCCCCCCCCGCTTTTTGAGACAGGGTCTTACATGTTGCCCAGGCTAGGCTTGAACTTGGACTCTTTCTGCCTCAGTTTCCCAAAATACTAGGGTTACAGGGATGTGCCATGACACCTCGCATATATTGTGTATAAATTTTTAAGTTCTGGTTTTAATAGAGAGACCAGATGTGAAGGTAGTCTTGGTCTGGTTCTGCCAGCAGAAGTTTTTCAGATTTCACTTAATCCTAGGGATTGTTTCACCTTGCCATCTCTTCTTAGATGTATTCTCTAGGTGTGGACCTGTGAGAAAGGAGTGTTTTTTTCTTCTTTAGAAAGGACTTAATCTTTTGTAGGATTTACTTTCAGGAGTTGTCTTTTTTACCAGAATGTTTGCAGTGGTGATGTTTTGAATCACAAGCCTCTTTTCTTTTTTCTAGAATTTCTGTAACAAATATGTATGACCTCTATAATGAATGATACTAACTTCAAAATAACTTTTGGCTTTCCTTTGCAGAAAATTTTAGTGAAAACTGTTTTGAGACACCTTATCCAAGTTGTAGGAAGGGCTAGACAGTGACTCACAGGAGTATTCCTAAATGATGAAGAAAAACTTTGCTAAAAGGAAGGTGAACAAATTTGCTGAAAAAGAAAGGAAATCATTATAAATAGGGGCCAGGGATTTAGCTCAGTGGTTCCGGCGCCTGCCTCGCAAGCGCAAGGTCCCGAGTTTGATCCCCGGTACCAAAAAAAAAAAAAAGGAAATCATTATAAATAGAAGCATAATTACCAGCCAGCTGTGTTAAGTCAGTATCCTCCTTTGATGACTTTAGATGAAAAGTAGGTAAGGTGTGTGAATGTGATCTACCCTTATTTTTACCTTAGTATACAGTAGTTTGAACTCTATTAGATAGCAAAATAAATACTTAAATTTTAGTGTGTTTTTTAAAAAAGAAAACCAAGAGGTTTTTTGTTAAGCAACAAGCAAGCTTCTTTATCAAGAATCTATTATAGGTCTTGAGTTTGATCCCTGGTACCAAAAAAAAAAATTATTATAAAATATTAACAGGGCCAGGGATTTAGCTCAGTGGTTCTGGCACCTGCTGCACAAGTGCAAGGTCCCAAGTTCGATCCCCCAAACAAAAAAAACCCAAAATATTAACAGAAAAACATTATGTGAATACTTTGATTACTTTAGAGAGCATTTCTCTCCTAAAATATGTTGAGTACATGTGAGGTAGAAATTACTGGCAGTGATTCAACACAAAAGCTGTGGGTTGTCTAAAGAAAGGGTACGTTTTTGGATCTATAAGGAGAAATATTCTGTGTTTGAGCTGTAATTGGAATGTGCCAGTGAGCCTTTCACAGGAGCATTGCTTCCAGTGAGGCAGATAAGAAAACAGATTAGCAAGACCTAATAAAAATAATCTTGCATCTGGACTGTATGGTAAAATAAATGCAAAGCTTATCTTTGAGGCAATAAAAGAAAAAAAGTCAGTGGTTTTCTTGTGTACCCTGAAACCAGGTCTAATGCTTCATTTTTTCCATTTCCTCCCTCAGAAGACAAAACTGCCAAAGCCAGTGTCCAGCAGGCTCCTGACAGAGCCCAGCAGACTCCAGATGGCACACAGCTTCCATCTGGTCATCCCTCATCTGCCACAAGCCAGGGCACTGCGAGCAAATGCCCTTTCCTGGCAGCACAGATGAGCCAGAAGGGCAGCAGTGTCTTCTGCAAAGCCAGTCTGGAGCTTCAGGAGGATGTGCAGGAGATGCATGCGGTGCGGAAAGGTAACAGATAAGACATGACCATCAGAAAGAGCGAAGAGGTCATTTTGTCTCCTGGCAGTGTCAGTTCTAAGTGTGAGCTATTATTAGGACTGTATTTGTGTAGACACCTTCCTCTTTTAGGGATGAGAAGGAAGGTTCTCAAGATAGAGAATTATGTTGCAAAATGTGGGATTTTCTTTCTGGTGGGTGTGTAGGATGTGGCCAGCTTTCCAAGTAACTGTTTAATGTCTCAAAATAACCAGCAGTCTTGAGTTGCTTCTACCTGTCCTTTGTTCCTTTGGTCTTTCCCACTGCTTAGTAGAACAAAAGGTAGAAATAATGGTGCTACTGAAGTCTGCAATAAGTGCTGATCCCAAGACTCCCCAAGTTGCGTGTCCTACTGATGGTCACTGCATGGCAACCTTAATTCCAGCTGAGCCTCAAAGCTCCCCAGAGCTTCACCAGCAGACATTATACATGTGAGCCAGACATAGAGGTACATGCCCATAATCCCAACACTTGGGAGACTGAGGCAGGAGGATCATGAGCTCATTGCCAGTGTGGACTACAGAATATCTTGTCTCAAAAAAAAAAAAAAAATTATGCCTACGGCCAAAATTGTTTTCTGTGAAAAAGAATAGAGAATTGGGGAGGTAGTGAAGGGGGTGGAATGGGAAAAGCATGCTAACCAGCTAGAAAACTTTGGGGTTTTTTTGGTTTGTTTTGTTTTGTTTTTTGGTATCGGGGATCAACTCATGACCTTGCACTTTCGAGGCAGGCACACTGCCACTGAGCTAAATCCCCGGCCCTGGATTTTTTAATTTTTATTTATTTATTTTTGGTTTTTTGAGACAGGATTTCACTATGTAGCCCAGGCTGGCCTCCAACTCATGGCAGTCCTCTTGCTTCAGTCGCCTGAGTGCTGGGAAATACGGATGTGCCCAGCTGGATTTTAATGTTCATTAAAGCTGATTAGTAACCCTAAAAACAAAACAGCATGAAAGGTAGCCATTACAGTAAATAAATTAGAAGAAGAGATGTTTTCATACCTCAGTTACAACTAACTTTGATATCATTTATCGCAAACATATTAGAACTTAAAAAATTTTAAAAACGAACTTTGGTTTTGATCAGCGTTTTTGTGAACTAGGCAGTAAGCCATTTTGGACAGTGTATCTAGAAAGTGTTGTAAACTCGGTGAGGAATGTCAGTCCCATTTGCCTGTCATAACTTTTGTTACAGAGGTTGCCCAAACCTCAGTGAACCCCAGTGTGATCAGTGTGAAGACTGATGGAGAGGATCCAAGTGGATTGCTGAAAAATTTCCAGGATATCATGCGAAAGCAAAGACCAGAAAGAGTGTCTCATCTTCTTCAAGATAACTTGCCGAAGTGTAAGTCTCGTTGTTATTTGCCTGATGTAGAAGAGAGTTTATAACTTAAATGTACATGAGATAAAAAAGAAAATCATGTGGTGAGTCCAGAGTTGAACTCTTTTCATATCCACCACCTCCATTCTGGGTGCAGTACCAAACACTTGATAATACACAGTCTGGTTTACCTCTCACAAGATGAGGACATCAAGTCACTTGCCCAGAATCTCCCTGCTGTGAAGTAGCCACGCTGGGACTTGAACTCAAGTCTGTCTTTCACCAAAACCTAGATGTGCATCTTAACCCTCAGACTGTACTATCTTTTGTTTGATTTTTAGCTATTTCCACTTTTCAATATGATCATTTCTTTGAGAAGAAAATTGATGAGAAAAAAAATGACCACACCTATCGAGTTTTTAAAACTGTGAACCGGAGGGCACATATCTTCCCCATGGCAGATGACTATTCGGACTCCCTTATCACCAAAAAGCAGGTGTCGGTCTGGTGCAGTAATGACTATCTAGGGATGAGTCGCCATCCACGGGTGTGTGGGGCAGTTGTGTAAGTATCCCTGGTTTTCCAGTACCACTGGTCTTATTTGGGAAAGCATTGATGATTTATACAGGCTGGATCTTTTATGAGGGGGGGATAGTCAACTGAAAGTGCAGCACAGCAAAAGGCTATTCTTAGCCTTTGAAAATATCTACAGATTACTTTTTAGTTTGTCCCACTATTCTGAAGATGCAGTCACTTGAAACTTCTGGCCCCAGGTTTCATAGTGAGAGAGCTGCTGGGTCAACATAAGTTTTAGCTTCCTGGAACCTGGAAAGAGGTCCAGTTCACATGGTGTTTAGAACCATGAGTTTTATTTATATGTCTCTGCCTTTCTCTGTCCCTGTTTCTCCCCACCCCCACAGGGAGACTTTGAAACAACATGGTGCTGGGGCAGGTGGTACAAGAAATATTTCTGGAACTAGTAAATTCCATGTGGACCTGGAGCAGGAGCTGGCTGACCTCCATGGGAAAGATGCAGCACTCTTGTTTTCCTCATGTTTTGTGGCCAATGACTCAACCCTCTTCACCTTGGCTAAGATGATGCCAGGTAAGGAAGCCTGGCATGGGTACCTTAGAGCTTTTTGAGTCTCTTAGTAATAACAACAAAGGCTTACCAAAGCCCTCAACTAAGAGTAACAGTCCTAGCTGGGAACATTTCCTCTTTGCACATAAAGTGCTAATTGCACCGTAGGAGTTCCAGTAGAACATGATACAAATGAAGATTCAAACATGAAAGGTATGAGCTGGGTGTGGTGGCATAGCACTAGATAATAATATAATCCCAGCACTAGGGAAGCTGAGGCAGGAGGATCATGAGTTTGAGGCCAGCCTGGGTTAAGTAGCAAGACTGTTTTGAGACAAACAAAAAAACCTGAAAGGCCACATCCTTAAGCTAATTCCCTCAGATGTGCTTTGTATTCTAAGAAATTCTTTTGGAAGGGCTGGGGATTTAGCTCAGTGGTTTCTCCACCTGGTGCGAAAGCGCAAGGACCTGAGTTCGATCCCCAGTACCAAAAAAAAAAAGAAATTCTTTTGGAGAAATCTCTTGCTTATTTTTAGTTATCTCCTAATCGAGTTTGGAGTGAGGCACCTGGATTTAAAGGCAGACTAACTACTCTTCACAGGTTTATTCCTTTGAATCTTCTCAAAGAAGAAGCACTAGCTAGTTATTATGCCAGAACAAAAACTATCAAATGGCTTCCTTTTCCTACTGACCATTTTCAGGAAAAAAATCTGTTGTCTTTGTCTAGAATACAAGTTTTCTTTGACATAGGTGGCAATAAATAGCATGTTTATCATGTTAGGTTGTGAGATTTACTCAGATTCTGGGAACCATGCTTCCATGATCCAAGGGATTCGAAACAGCCGAGTGCCAAAGTATATCTTCCGCCACAATGATGTCGCCCACCTCAGAGAACTGTTGCAAAGATCTGACCCCGCGGTCCCTAAGATTGTTGCATTTGAAACTGTCCACTCCATGGATGGTAAGTCTAAACACAAGCTAGTCTAAAACCTGAAATGAGAAAGCAAGACCTGAACTGACTTGGGGCTGGGGATATAGCTCAGTGGTAGAACATATGCTTAGCATGCTCAAGGCTCTGGGTTCAATCTGTAGCATTCCCCCTGCCCCCCAATGTATGGTGCCTTGTTTTTGGGTTTTATTTTTCTTTTGCTCTCTGCTGTGATTTGTAATCGGTAGTCATTATGTAGATTTGTGTGAGTTTGGATTTTCCACTCTGGCTTTTACTAGGTTCTATGAGATTCCAAGGTAACCTAGAAATTAGGGAAAATTTGTTTACTTCCCAGCATTAAAAATGATATTTTAGAATGTGAGCTACTTTGTTCTGACTGTAAGCAAAACAGAAATTTCTGAAGTGCAAACTCTTCAGAGCAGTTTCTGGTCTTCTTTCAGGAGCAGTGTGTCCACTAGAAGAGCTGTGCGATGTGGCCCATGAGTTTGGAGCAATCACCTTTGTGGATGAGGTTCATGCAGTGGGGCTGTATGGGGCTCGAGGTGGAGGGATTGGTGATCGAGACGGAGTCATGCCGAAGATGGACATCATTTCTGGAACACTTGGTACGCATATTTGCATGTTCTCTTCTGCACTAAAATGACATTATCCTAACAAGGCCAAGGACTGAGTAGTGTGACTGGGATCTAGTGAGGAGACAGAATGATAGCTTATCAGTCTGGCCACTTTCTTAAGGGTGATTTTTTGGTCCCAGTGAGTAGTAGTCCAGCTTAGCAGAATCTGTTGGAGGTTGAAAGACCTTTACAGCCAGGCATGTTAGGAATATCATTTATTGCTGTCTGAGCTCATTCCAGAATAGTCATGGCTCTAACTACATGCCATAACAAGAGCTTTTACACTCTAGGCCTCAGATTGTTCATCTAAATTAAAAAGGAGTTTATATTTTTCTGCTAGAACAGTTGTTAGGAACAAGGTGTTGTGAAGTACGGAAGTGCATGATTCCCATAGGGGAACATTCTAGCTCCCTCTGCCTTTCCTCTGGTCCTCCTCATGCAGAAGAAGCATCTCACAGTGGTGGGGAGCCAGACTCTGGAGACCTGCTGCCTGGGCTTCATTCTGGCTGCATGACTCACAAGTTATGTAACACCACATTGGCAGTTAGCCTCTCCACACCTCAGTTTCCTCATCAGTACAGTGGAAAGAAATGGAGCTATATCAGAATGCTCTTAGAGAGCCAAGCATGTTGGCCCATGCCTGTAATCCCAGCACTCAGGAGACTGAGGCAAGAGGATTACTGAGAGTTCGAGGCCAGCCTTGGCTACATAGTTCAAAGCCAGGCTGAACTGCATAGTGAGACCCTGTCTCAAAACGAACAAAAAGAATGCTTGTGGAGGAGATAAGATGTGTTGCATGCAGCTCATTACTATGACATTGTCTTTGCCTTTGAGAACCCTGAAGAGATGAAGATGTACATTGTACACATTTGAGGACTCTTTAAAAACTTCAAGAGTTGGTAAAACATTTGGAAACCCATGTAGCAGTCAGCTAAAATGCAAAGTTAAGCCCTACACTTGGTAAAGGATGAGTGGGCAAAGAGAGCGTCCTCCATCCCTGCCAAGGGGAGCAGGGCCCCATGCAAGCCTAGGGAACCTGGGGCAGTTGGGATGGGGCCATCAGGAAAGGTGCTTGTTCACTGACTTCTCTCTCAAGGCATTCTTATGACATGCTCTTTGAAGGTGTGGTCATTGTGAGGTGGGAAGTGCTGGAGGGAGAAATTTTCCACTGTAGGAGTTTGAACCCACATCACCCTTCACTGGTTTGGCAAAAGTGTTAATTACGGAACATAATGTTGAGATCTCTGAGAACTCTTCGAGAGTCCTTAATCCTGAAACTTGAGATACACATTTTACAAAGGACTTGACCAGAACCGAAAAACAAGTCTGGCCCTAAACCACCCCTAACAGGTTCTGATTTTTTTGTTTTTATCTGGCAAGCTCTAATTGTCAGTTTGGTGTTTGCTTTAAGTAGGAAGTAATGGGTCACACCACAGCAGTGAGTGTAGCCACCAGATTATGTCCACAGTGAGGATGGTGCAAGCACCCAGCTTGCATCCTGCTCCCAGGAGCACAGTGCAGAAGAGAGGAGAGGGAGTTTTGGCTGGCAGCAGAGCCATAGTGCTGGCTAAGTGGAAGAGTGGGCAAGAGGAAATGGTGGGAAGAGGGGCAGCCACTTGGCCCCAGGTCACTGGGCAGTCACAGGGTGCTAGCCTGCTCTGGAGACCACATTCTGAGATTGCCCCTGTCACTGGGCAAGACCCTTTCATAACCTCTTAGCTTTTGCCCTCCTAACCATGGAGGATGTCACTCAATTTCTGTCAGTCTTCGGACAGAGAAAGAAGCTAAGGAGAAAATAAATGATCTGAGGTACTGCAACACCTGGCTGTTAGTGGTATAATGAAGCTGTCTACTCTCAGGCAAAGCCTTTGGCTGTGTTGGAGGGTACATCGCCAGCACGAGTTCTCTGGTTGACACCGTGCGCTCCTATGCGGCTGGCTTCATCTTCACCACCTCTTTGCCTCCCATGCTGCTGGCTGGAGCCCTGGAGTCTGTGCGGATCCTGAAGAGTGCCGAGGGGCGGGCACTTCGCCGCCAGCACCAGCGAAACGTCAAGCTCATGAGGCAGATGCTCATGGATGCTGGCCTCCCTGTGGTCCACTGCCCCAGCCACATCATCCCTGTTCGGGTAATGGCCTGTCCCTGCTTAGACTCCTGGGGGCTGTGCCTCCTCACAAGCTGTGCAGTTGTTTGGATTCTGCCTTCCTAAAGTTGGGCTAGGGCACAAAGACTGCAAGGCCAGGCCAGGGCCAGCAGCCAGCAGCCCTCTGTGGTGTCTCTGCCTTTGGCTGCCTTCACAGTGAGAATGAAGCCTTTAAACCCAGCAGACTGGAGCAGAGTTTCCCTCTTCAGAGCACTGACCTTAATAGGGTGAACACAGAGCTTGAACCCAGAAAGCTCCAAAGCCTGACCTCAGCTTTGTACCTAGTAAATTTCAAAACAGGTATTGAGTTTCCCTTTGCAGATGGAAGCCCTGTTGGTGTCCCAGGTAAACCAGTGTAGGGATTACAGCTAGTTTTTTTTTTTAGTTTTTAGTTTTTTTGTTTTTTTGGTAATGGGGATCAAACTCGGGTCCTTGCGCTTTCGGGGCAGGCAGCAGAACCACTGAGCTAAATCCCCGTGCTGATTACAGCTAATTAACCAGAGCAGGGCTAGACATTTTGGGAATGAGGACCAGCTGGTGTGAAAAGAAGCCCTACCTTCTCCACACAAGGCCTGGAAGGGGAGTAGTGCAGAATTTACTTCTTTTTGTTTGTTTTTGCACTTCTAGAAATTGAACCAAAGGCCTCATGAATGCTGGGGAAGTACTCTTTATCACTGAGCTATATAGCTACAGCCCTTTTTAAATTTTTATTTTGAGACAGTCTGCCTAAGTTGCAAAGACTGGCCTCAAACTTGTAATCCTCTTGCCTCAGCCTCCTGAGTAGCTGGGATTACAGTTGTGAACCACCACATCTGGTTGAAATTTACTTCTTTTTTGGTACCGGGGATCGAACTCAGGTCCTTGTGCTTGTGCAGCAGGCGGCGAAACCACTGAGCTAAATCCCTGGCCCTGAAATTTACTTCTAATGAGGCTTTGGTTCTCTGGTCCTCCCTAGACATTACCAGCTCCTTTAAATTGCAGGTGTTCAGAGAGTGCTGTCCTCCCCCAAGCTTGCAGATGCTATAGTCTGGTCTTGAGCCTGAGCCTTTTGGAAACTATTTGTGATACTTCTGCCAGGAGGTAGCCCATCCTGCTCTGACCCTATCTTCTGCTGCCATCAAACTTAGGTTGCCGATGCTGCTAAAAACACACAAGTATGTGATGAGCTAATGAGCAGACATAACATCTACGTCCAGGCGATCAATTACCCAACAGTGCCGCGTGGAGAGGAGCTGCTTCGGATTGCGCCTACCCCTCACCACACGCCTCAGATGATGAGCTACTTTCTGGGTGAGTGCCTTCAGGGGTGTGGGGGCCTCTCTGGAGGCTTGGATAAGTTTGTTATCTAGTGTTTATCATTGTGGCTTGCAGAGACTGGCAAATTTGATTCTTGGTCAAGGTAATTAAGAAGGCCTCAGGTGACACAAAGCCCTAGAAAACAGTTGCTGGATTTACTCTGAGTGTGCAGAGCCCCCTTGGAAGCTCTGTGGGAGCCTGCTAGTCTGGCGTGTTCCCAGGCCCCCACTGGAGGATGCACAGTAATGAGCTTGGCAGGAGAGGTGAGTCCTCCAAAGGCTTGAGTCTGCCCCAGCCTGCACAGGCCAGCTCACAGTCCTCTAAATTCTCTGTGTTCTTCTCCATTCCCTCAGTGTGGTCCTTGAACTAACCCTGCACCTACCACCAGAGACCCTGCACAGCATTTTACATTGCTCATGTGTCTGTACTGCCACCACCTACCCTGGTATTCAACCCAGAAGCAGGGATCGAGGGGGCTCAGTCTCTGAAAGGGACCTTGCCAGCGCCAGCCTGAGCCCTCAGCTTCCTGACAGCCTTCATGTTCTGTTAGAAATGCTTGGTGGAAAAAAATAAATAAATAAATAAAAATAAAAATAAAAAAAGAAATGCTTGCTGGGCATGGTGGTGCCACCTATAATCCTAGCACTCAGGAACCTGAAGCAGAAGGATCACCACAAGTTCTAGGCCAGCCTGGGCTTCATGGTGAGTTCAAGACTAGCTTGGGCTACATAGTGAGACCCTGTCTCAAAAAATCAAAAAAA